CAGGCCGCGCGGACCCGCCCAGGAGAGCGCGGGAGGCGGGGCGGTGCCCCCACCGTGGGCCCACGGCGCCCTCTGCCGGCCGCGAGCGGACACAGGCCGGTAGCCTCACCCTCCTTCTCCTCCCTCTGCCCGCCGTCCTCTGGCCACGCTTTCCGTGGCTGGAGTTCCCGGGTCTCTCCCAGCCTCCGTCTCTCCCCTCCCTCCGCGCCACTCCCAGGCCCAGCGTGTCGGTGTCCTCGCGGGAAAACTGCCCCTGAAGTTTTCCTCTTCTCGCTCCCAGGTGCCCCGCCCCGCCGCCAGTATCGCGAGAGCTGGCGGCGCGGCCACCATGGCGGCGGCGGCGGCTTGGGAAGCCCGGGTGGCCGGAGCGGCGGCGGCGCTGGCTGTGCCGGCGGAGCGGGCGGCCACGCCGGGCTCTGGCCCGGAGCCGACCCCGGCGCCCGCGAGGGGCTTGCGGACGGCCCACGACGTGGGCGGCCCGCGGCCCCGCACGGGGGACGTGCTGCTGGCGGAGCCGGCGGACTTCGAGTCGCTGCTGCTGTCGCGGCCGGTGCTGGAGGGGCTGCGGGCGGCCGGCTTCGAGAGGCCCTCGCCGGTGCAGCTCAAGGCCATCCCGCTGGGGCGCTGCGGGCTCGGTGAGGCCGGGGACAGGAGGGCCCCGCGGAGCCCCGGGCGGGGGCTTGGGAGACGACCCGCTGTTGGGCTCGGGGAGAGTCGGGGCCTGGTCCGCGCGGACGGGGCTTCGGCCTTTGAGAAGCTGGGCCGGCTAGCGTGTGTCCGGACTGGCTTCGTGCCTCTTGGAGATCAGCTACAAGCGTGGCAGCTGCCAACGAGGGGATCCCTGGAGACCCTTCTGGGTCTCTGGTTCGTGCAGTTCTGGCTGGTGATCGCTTTTGCTTTTTTCCCCCGCAGATTTAATTGTTCAAGCCAAATCTGGCACTGGGAAGACCTGTGTGTTCTCCACCATTGCTCTGGATTCTCTGGTCCTCGAAAACTTAAGCACCCAGGTGAGTTAGCTTGGGGGACCCAGAGGAGGATGCCATAGGTGGGCTTTCCCGTCGACCAGGTGAAATACCCGTAGCTCCTCAGGTGGCGGTGAATTTGATGAATGATTGAGCTAAGCCCTGTGAAAAAATAAAAGTAGAGTTAAGGTCATTGAGTGGTGGTGGTGGTGATGGTGGTGGTGGGGATAGCCACCAACGATATGCAGGGTTAGCGTTTGGAGGTTGGCATTTTCTATGATTAGGGTATCTTGAGAATAAGTCTGTATATGTCAGTTTTCTCATTATTGAGAGCACAAGCAGGGGGTCTTTCTTCTTTTTTTTTTTTTGAGTTGGAATCTCACTCTGTCGCTCAAGCTGGAGTGCCTTCCAAGTAGCTGGAACTACAGATGCTCGCTGCCACGACTGGCTAATTTTTGTGATTTATTGTAGGGACGAGGTCTTGCTGAGTTGCCCAGGCTGGTCTTGAACCCTCAGGCTCAGGCAATCCTCTCACCTTGGCCTCCCAAAGTGCTGGGATTACAGGGTGAGCCACCATGCCCAGCCAAGTCTTTATTCTGTAGTTACTGAGTAGATCCTTGTGAAACTTAGCATCTGGCTCGATTCAAGTTGGTGTGGCGTTCTGGCCACTGCTGGTAACTGCAGGTGGCTTCTAAAGTTCTGTGAATGAGCTCCCATCTCTAGGTTGTCTTGCAGTATTTCTGGGATTGCCTTACCCAAATTCACAGATTTGGATTTGGGAATCATTTCTTGAACAAAGATTTGTTTAGCTTGGCTGGATGCAGTGGCTCACGTCTGTAATCCCACTTTAGGAGCTGAGGGAAAAGAATTGCTTGAGCCCCGGAGTTCAAGATCAGCCTGGGCAGCATAGCGAGACCTCTTCTCTCAGAAAAATAAATTTAAAAAACTAGCCGGGCAGGCATGTACTTGTAGTCCCAGCTACTGGGGAGACTGAGGCAGAAGGGATCGCCTGTGCCCAGGAGGTCTAGGCTGTGGTGAGCGGTGATCGTCCCACTGCACTCCAGCCTGGGCAACAGAGTGAGACCCTGATTCAAAAAAGATCTGTTTAGCCCATATTACATACAAACAGAATGCCACGCTTTAGGGATTCAAAGATGATTTAGAAATGAATTAGTTATGATTAGTTGTTTCTCATAGGCTTACTTTGTAGCTTAGTAGTTATGGCAGACTTTATTTCAAGTTCTCAGCCATGTGTATATCTGATGATGAATCTTCAGTGGTGGTTTTTAACCCAGATACTCATATTCATCATCTGGGAAGCTTTTTGAGTCCCATCTTATGTTTACTAAATCCTGGGTGATGCTGCACATAGGAAATCCTTCTACTTTCCAAGGTCCTGGGCCAGTGTAAGTTAAGAACATACAGTTTTACCATCTCCTCCTCCAGTGGCTCTATTGCACAGTTTTTACCATGACTCCAGGCCTTTTGTGATCTAGACACTAGAGCCACTCTCTGACCTCCTTTACTTTCCCCCTAATTCTGTCGAGCCACCTGGGCCTGCCTTATGTTACTCAAATACTCCAAGAACACTGCCATCTGACAGCCTTTGCATCTGCCGTTTCCTCCTCCTGATCAGGTCTTCCCCAGGGGTCATGTAGCTAGCTCTACTCTGTGCTGTACGTGGAGGCCTCTGCTCAGATGTTACCTCCTTAGAAGGACTTCTTGATCACCTCGTTTAAAATGACTCCTTTTTTCCCTGTTTGTTTTTTTTTCATCAAACTTTTCATTACCTGCCATTATTTATTTTTGTTTATTGTATGTATTCTTCTTATCCATGAATGAAAATGCCACGGGGGCAAGGACTTTGTATTGTTTACTCTTGATTCCCCAGCAGTTAGTATGCCGTCTAACAGTTAGTAGGTTCTTAGTATTTGTTGAATGAATACATGAACGAATGAGTGAGTGGAATATAGTCAGCCCTCTGTGTCTGTGTTCTGCATCTGAGGATTCAACCAACTAGGGGTCAAAAATATTTGGGAAAAGCAAACAAATTGAAAAATACAAGTACAAAATATAGTATAACAACTGTTTACATAGCTTTTACGTTGTATTAGGTACTAAAAGTAACCTAGATATGATTTAAAGCAGTGGTCCCCAACCTTTTTGCATCAGGGATCAGTTTCATAGAAGACAATTTTTCCACGGGGCAAGGGAATCACCAGGCAATCAGGCATTAGATTCCCACAAGGAGCACGCAACCTAGATCCCTCGCTTGCGCAGTTCACGATATATCTTGTGTACCTGTTGGGAACCCCTGATTTAAAGGATGTGTGTAGGTAATATGCAAATAATGCCGTTTTATGTAAAGGACTTGAGCATCTGCTGATTTGGCTGTCGGGGGGGGGTCCTGGAACCCATCCCCTGCAGATATTGAGTGACAGTTGTGTTTTTCCTTAACAATAAGAATTGATCATTTAGAATGATCATTTAAGTGAAATATTGTATAGTGCATCAGTTAATAAGTGTACTAATCATATATTTATTTCTGTGACTTATTAAAGGTATATTTCACATTTTCTTTAGATTTTGATCTTGGCTCCTACAAGAGAAATTGCTGTACAGATACACTCTGTTATCACAGCCATTGGAATAAAAATGGAAAGTTTAGAGTGTCATGTCTTTATTGGAGGCACCCCATTATCACAAGATAAAACCAGACTTAAGAAATGTCATATTGCTGTTGGATCTCCTGGTAAGATAACAATGACTGTTGGTAACTGGGCTTTTAAGGACCTGAACACTTTCAATATAACAGTAAAGATTTATGGGAGTGTTTGATAACTGTGATAATTATTTTGATTAGAAATGGAGAGCATCAGGCCAGTGAGAGATAGGCACATGAAAGGATTACCAGTGGAATTTATTCCTAAGGGTGTTTGAGGACATATGCGATTGGCTTCTGAGAAATGAGGTGACTTTCAGGAAGTCCTTCTAAACCATGGATTGGGATTATTCTTTAGTTTAATCATTGGGTCGTGAACCACTCAGAATCAGAGTGTCACATTCAGTGCCTTAGCATTCAAGTCTTTGGCTAGGAATGGTATTGATTTTCCATCCTTACTGGTGGATGGAAAATAATGAGTTTAGGCACGATCAGAACTCAGGGTTGCTAATTTGTAGTTCAGTGTAAATGCATGATATGAGTCGAGTCAGGAAACTTAGCAGTACAACCTGTGAGTAATTAGAGTGATACCATTGACTGAGATTTGTGCAAATTTGGTACCTAATGGATATTTCAATGTATTTTTTTTCTGGAGTTTAGGCAGAATTAAACAACTCATAGAGCTTGACTACTTGAACCCAGGCAGTATACGTCTTTTTATTCTTGATGAAGCAGATAAGCTTTTAGAAGAAGGCAGCTTCCAGGAGCAAATAAAGTAAGAAAAAATAAGTAACTAACTTGACTATTAAAATGATGCCCAAATCATCTGTCTTTAGCTTTTCTGGGTGTGAGTACTCTCTGGATAATTTCCATGTTACATATTTTTCTTCTGCTTTGCAGTTGGATTTATTCTTCCTTGCCTGCCAGTAAGCAGATGTTGGCAGTATCAGCTACTTACCCTGAATTTTTGGCTAATGCTTTGACAAAGTACATGAGGGATCCTACTTTTGTAAGACTGAATTCCAGTGATCCAAGTCTCATAGGTGTGTACAGATTTTGGATACTTACAACATTGGCTTGTACATGATACTTTGGAGATTTCTCTTGCCTAGTTGTCTATTAATGCTTTGTAGTTGCTGTCAGAACATAGCAAATATGTGTGTTTTAACTGAGGACTCTTGACATCTTTGTAGGTTTGAAGCAGTATTACAAAGTTGTCAGTTCATACCCTTTGGCACATAAGATTTTTGAGGAAAAAGCTCAGCATTTACAGGAACTGTTCAGCAGAATTCCATTTAATCAAGCTTTAGTCTTTTCTAATTTGCACAGCAGGTAATGTAACTTAAAAGGTCATCTGGGGTACTTGAGATGTAGCTCGAGGTTAGGCTGGGGGCAACATTTGTGAAATTATAGCCCTTTGTTTTTCCTAGGGCACAACATTTGGCTGATGTCCTTTCATCTAAAGGCTTTCCTGCTGAGTGCATTTCAGGTAAGATACGTTAATCTTTGTTTAATATGTTGATATGAAGCCTCCAAAGTCAGGAAGAAGAAATACTACTTCATGAGTTGCCTTGGGAGTGTGAGGTTACATTGAATCTTCAGAGTAAAGGAAAGTTCATACTTAGTTTTCATTGAAACTTGATTTATCAATATTCTTGTGTTTTTAAGGAGTAATTTGGTACATAGTAAAAAATTAGAAAACTAGTGTTCAAATAGACTTAATTTTATTAGAATCTCTTTGAGTTATATCGTGAGGAACTTAGTTCTATAAGACAAAGTTTGTCTTTGTTGTCTTAAAAGTATTTTGTTTCTTTATGTAATCATTGTTAAAATGCTAAGAATTGCTAACAGAATTGACTGTCTAGTAGTCTTGTGGAGGGCAAAAATGATTCAGTTCTTGTTACAAAGTTAAATTATTACTGTTGGCCTAATCAGAATGAAAGCCTTAAAGGAATTTTCGATCAGTGAGATTATTTATTTCTTTATTTTTGTTGCCTTTTGAAGCATCACAGATGCGATTCTCTGTAGAGTTCAGTCTGTTGTCTCAGCTTAATTTTCACTTGCTCTCTTGAGCTTGTTTAGTCATGGGATATCGAGATAGTGTCGAGGCTGTCCTCTACTGCACCAGTCTTTTGACTGTAGATCACACTCAACACTAATTTATAAACAATGATTTAAAGCAGTTTTATTTTCCTAAGAATCGCTTATTATAGCTCATATGTAACTTTGCAGATAGAACCTTCGATCTTCAGGCATAGCCTGGTCACCATTTAAAATTGATTTTCGAATTTTAAGTTGATTTCCTAAACCATATTTTAGAAGATTCTGACTTTAGATCTTAACCCAGATTTGCACAGGACAGAATTAGTTGTGGTTGGTATATTTAAAGTGTTAAGACTGGGAATTATAATTTTTGCTTTTTGTGGATTTGATAAATATGTATTAGCTTAGTTGTTTTTACATGACTTGTCTTTTTGGATCTTTTTAGGTAACATGAATCAGAATCAACGTCTTGATGCTATGGCCAAACTGAAGCAGTTTCATTGTAGAGTCCTCATTTCCACAGATTTGGTAAATTTCCTGTTCAGTTTGGGTGACTTAATCCATCTTGACATAATGTTCTATTATCTGATGTACAGATTTCATCTATTATTTTCTGTGGGCGGGTATAACTAACAAAAATATCAGAAGATAATTATCTTTCCATTGCCGGGAAAAATGGTTTCTTAAAAATGTCTTTAAGATTTTGATGTATGCTCTTGAAATGTGTTAGTCATTAGGAATGAATTTCCTTTTCCTCTGCTCTTAAATATCCTGGTATTAATTTGGCTCTTGGTTATACAAGAAGAAATAGTGTGTACTGGTAGTTGTGCTATAGTTAATGCAAGCAAATAATTGCTGTCTTCTTCAATTCAAGACGTCCCGTGGGATTGACGCTGAGAAGGTGAATCTGGTTGTAAATCTGGATGTACCATTGGACTGGGAGACATATATGCATCGGATTGGCAGAGCTGGCCGTTTTGGTAAAAAAAAGGAAAAAAAAAAGAAAAAAAAGTCTGAGTGCTTTCTTTAAGGGGAGGAATCTATAATGTGGCAGCTGGTGTCACTGATGTGAAGATGGTTTACTGCTTAACAATCCCTCTGCTTTAGGAACATTGGGACTGACGGTGACCTACTGTTGCCGAGGAGAGGAAGAAAATATGATGATGAAAATTGCCCAGAAATGTAATATCAACCTTCTCTCATTACCAGGTACATCTTCTCTGTTTGATTTTGCTGACAAAGCAATAACTGTGGTGATGACTGGCAAAATAGACACCTAAGCATGGGGGCTTGTGCCTATAATACTAGCACTTGGGCAGTTGAGGCAAGAGGAACATTCAAAGGCCAGGAGTTTGAGAGCAGCCTGGCAACACAGGAGGAGGCCCTGTCTCTTAAAAAAAAAAAGATGGCACATGCCTGTCGTCCCAGGTACTTGAGGCTAGGGTGGGAGGATTGTTTGAGCCCAGGAGCTTGAGGCTCTAGTAAACTATGCTTGTGCCACTGCATACAGACTGTCTCTTAAAAAAAAAGCCAGGAGTTCAAGATAAAAAATAATAGCTTACGATGTGTTGGGTGCTGTTCCCAGCTCTGTAGGTACGTTAACTCATTATTCTCACGACAGTCCTACGGTTCCTACGATTATTGTAGATGAGGATATTCAGACATAGAGAAGTTAAGTAAAGTTGTTACAGCTGATAAGTAGCAGAGAGGGGGTACAAGCCAACTGCTGGCACATGAAAAATGAGGGCTATATTAGCTCTGTGTTTTAGTTAGTGGCCTTGCAGTTTGATCTTATTCTTTGACATGAGGGAGTCTGTTTTACCTCTTTTAAGTTGCTGTGAAGGTAATTCTTGGTATAGTCTCCTTTGTCGTCATGATGAAAGAACAATTCTTTAATTTGAACACTATTTTGAAAAATTTGAGTGAAGTGTTTTGATTTTAGTCATGCTATTTAAGTGCTTTTATGTGCTGTCTTGAAAACATTGCATGTTTGAAGCTATTAATAATCTCTTAAAAACAAAAAGCCTAAAAAAATTCTGGAGTGGAAATACAGTTTATTTGGTATGCATCAAAAATATACACTGTAGGGTATATATGCATATATAGATACGAATGCATAAATATATATGTAATACATACAGGACCTTGTAGAATATGGGGTATGTAGTTATTGAGTAAATATAACAGGATTTTGCCGATTTTATATTTAATGTCTTTAGTTATTTTACAAAGCTCGTTTAAATACTTTCCTGGGAGTCCTATGGATTCTAGTAATTCTGGCTTGATAATAACTCATTCTATGATCTTTTATAAATCTTTCTAATTAACCTAAGTTTAATGTCCAGATTTCCAAGATATTTTAAAGTAGATGACCTTTAGGTTCTATATCAGTTCTAAAACTATCAGTTCTTTCTATGTATAAGTCTATTGCTGGTCTGAAAAATAAATTCAAAATTGGTAGAAGTGAGTTAAGACTTGTTTTTTGTAAGATTCAGTATCATAGCATCTAGTGATAAAAATAAAGTTTGCCTTTGGATACTGGAAAATGATATATTTGGATCTTTATGTAATGTTAGCAGAGCCCTGAAATCATGAGAAAATGATATTCATGCTGTTAGAGCTCTATTGGACTGGAAACTTGTATGACAACAGACTGTTCAGATGAGTTGCCCAGGGCAGGACTAGGAGGGAAATTGGCCTGTGTTAGAGGCCTCGGCAAACAACTCTAGGCATTTTAGTCCTGGAGTCTGTTCAGCAAACGATCAAGAGACTCCATTGACAAACACCGAGCTGAGGGACTTAGTGGGTGCAAGTACATAGAGCACAAACAGCAACAACAGGCAAGATCTTTGTGAGGCAGGGACTGAGGGTACCTTGCCTGCCTCAGACAAAAATTGGTCACACTTTGGAAAGGTCCGAGTAAAGGTGGAGGCAAATTGTCACACCTGGATGTACTAGAAGGGTTAGAGGGTTGACGCCAGCAAACTTTTAAAAAATTAGAAGTGACATTGGTATCATAGATCTTTTCACAATCATCTAACTTTTTTTTCCTCCTGTAGAGGTTTTATCTCTACTGTTAAGGGTTTTGATTTCTTCCTGTTGGAGTATTGGGCAACAGATTTGGTTGGGTGTACAGAGCTGGAGTTGTAATACTTCCTAGTTGATATGCTTTGAGGGGCACACAGTTCATTTTCTAATATCTTGTTTTGCTCTCTGTAGTGAGGAGAATAAAGGGAAGGGACTGGGGAGAGGGAAGAAGGAAAAGATGGGAGAATTGCTGCAGACTTGTACGTCACTCCCAGAGCAAGCTCTTTTTGAGTGGAGATGAGGGGAGATCGTACTTGTGAGTGTGGAATGGGTCTTCTATATTGCTTAGGCAAATTTCTTTTCTTTGTTTTGAGTCAGGGTCTTACTCCGTTGCCCAGGTTGGAGTGCAGTGCTATGGTCATGGCTCACTGCAGCCTCGACCTCCTGGGCTCAGGCGATACCTCCACCTTAGCCTCCCGACTTGCTGGGATTGCAGGCATTTGCCACCACACTTGGCTGATTTTTTGGTTTATTGTAGAGACAAGCTCTCGTTATGTTGCCCAGGCTGGTCTTGAACTCCTGAGCTTAAGTGATCCTCCGGCTTTGGTTTCTCAAAGTGCTGGGATTACACAAAAGAGGCACTGTGTCAGGCCAAAATGCTAATATATTTCTTAAGCTTCTTAGTGTATTATTTGTATGTTTTATTTCTTAAACTGATTTGATCATGGAAAACTTAATGAACTCATTCAGAAAGTACTGGACTAGAATAGCTTGAGAATTTTCACACTTTCTCTTCTTGTTACACAGATCCCATTCCTCCTGGTCTGATGGAAGAATGTTGGACCTGGGATGTGGAGGTTAAAGCTGCTGTGCATTCATGTGGCTTAGCAGGTGTCCCTACCCAGCCCCTCAAAAAGCAAGTTCAAAAAACAGAGAAACCCTTTCAACCTCAGAAAGCTCATGGTAACCATACAGCTTCCTCTAGAAATAATTCTGTCTCTGCACTCTCAGTCAAGTCAAAAAATAATACCAAGCAAAAGCTTCCTGTGAAAAGCCACTCAGAATGTGCAGTCCTAGAAAAAGCATCGTCACCAGAAGAGCTGGGCTGTGCTATACAAGCCGAAGAACAAGTGAAACATTCCGTTCAGACCCCTGTTGAAAACTCTACCAGCAGTCAGCACCAGGTCAAAGAAACCTTGCCTGCGCACCTCCCCAAAATTCCTTGTTTGTCTTCTTTTAAAATCCATCAGCCGGGCACTTTTACATTCGCAGAGTTGGTAGAGGATTATGAACATTATGTTAAAGAGGGGCTGGAGAAACCTGTGGAAATCATCAGGCACTACACGGGCCCTGGAGGCCAGCCTGGGAATCCTCAAAATGGTTTTGTGAGAAATAGAGTCACTGAAGACAGAGTCCAGATACTGGCAAGTAGTAGCCAGTCTGGAGACTCTGAGAGTGACAGTGATTCTTATAGCTCAAGGACTTCTTCTCAGAGCAAAGGAAATAAGTCAAACATGGAAGGCTCTTCTGACACTCAGCTGAAAGACTCTAAATCTTCTCTTGTAAATGGCCATATCTCTTTGGAACAAACTCTGAATGAAAATGACACCCCCAACCTAGAGGACTATCAAGAATCACCTGAAACCCAGATGAAGGCAAGGCATAAAGATGGGGCCAGCCACAGAGCTAAGCAGAGCCGGAGACGTCCGCCCAGGCGGTCTTCCCATCGACTGCAGACAGAACGCCAGGAAGATGGCTGGTATGAGGGTCACAGGGAAACACTTCCAAGTTTCTCTGATACCTATCAGGATTATGAGGAGTACTGGAGAGCTTACTACAGGGCGTGGCAAGAATATTATGCCGCTGCTTCTCAGTCATATTACTGGAATGCTCAGAGACATCCTAGTTGGATGGTGGCCTATCACATGAATACCATTTATCTACAAGAAATGATGCGTGGGAACCAGTGACTGTAGGATATGCCTGAGGCCATCAGGAACTGTCCACAAGTGACATCTTTGGATATCTGTTCTTGACCTGCAGTACAGTGGCATATAGTGGCATTTTTGAAGAGCTTGGAAAGACTTGAGACTTTCCACTGGGACACATCTATTTTTCAGATTGTTTTGATGTAGGCCAGGTATGTCATCTTCGTTTTTAAGAATTTTTAAAGAAAATCAGATTCTTGAAAGAGAATTTGGGGGACAGAGCTGAAGTTCCCAGGGTGCCATTTTCTATAAGCTCTTCCCAAAGAAACATTTATACCACTGATATATATACCACTGCTTACTTAACAAATAAAAACAGTTGAGATTTGAAAATGTTAGTTTGCTGTGGAGTTCTTTACAAAAAGCTTGGGTTGTGTTTCTGTAGAGGTGCATTCTTGCAGAAGTTTGTAGCATGATAGATGAGAAAATCCTACTTTCTTTTAGGTTTAGGCAGGAAGGAATATTTGAACATTGCTTTAGATTTTCCCAAAGCTACTTGATTTGATGCTGTTGGAGTCAGTAAAAATATTTGTTTCTGGTAAAAACAAAATTTTTTTTTTTTGAGTCAAAGTCTCACTCTGTTGCTGAGGTTGGAGTGTGGTTGGAATGCTCACTGCCACCGCAGCCTGTTGGGCTCAGGCAGGCCCTCCACTTCAGCCTTCCAAGTAGCTGGAACTACAGGCATATACCACCATGCCCAGCTAATTTTTTGATTTATTATGGAGATGAGGTCTTGCCGTGTTGCCCCAGGCAGGTCTCAAACCCCTGGGCTCAGGGAGTCCCCTCCCCTCAGCCTCCCAAAGTGCAGGGATTACAGACATGAGCCACCATGCCCAGCCGGTAAAAACAAACGTGTTGACATGTTTATTGTTTATCTTCTGAATGGCTGTTCTTAAGATTGTGAAAGCTGTCCACGTTTTTATTGTGTATTAGATAGCTAAGGGTCATCAGTGGCTGTCTCACTGTGTTGCTCAGGTAGAGAAACAGCTCTTACACTTTGTTGTTTATTGGATCCTTTTATGAATTGAATCAAAGCTATTGATTGACCCCAGAAAATTTCTCATTCCATGATGTAGAATTGTGACTCATTTTAAGGGGTTCATAGACCTTCTGAAGCCCATCTGTGGAACCCAGGTTAAAAACTGACCTGCTCTTAGGCTAATGGAAGGTTCTCACTCTTAGTTTCAGGTATTTTGCGGAAGCTGAAATTTATTCTCTTCAGACTCTTCTCAGTATGGCTAATGTGTTGAGAAGTTTTCCCCAGTTTTTACCTCTAATCCAAGGGCAGCTGCTATTTTTGTAAGATGGTGCATCTATAAATTATGTAGAAAAATGTAATTGGAAGTTACATAGTCTTTCCTTTTCTCTGGTTTTCCTATGATTTAGCTTTTGGTTCCCAAACCTGTATATGAACTAGGCTTTTGGTGAGAGAACTCCTTATGTGTATTTGCTTCATGTTGTAAGAGGAAAGCGCTTCTTTCCCGTGTACATGCTCGTCTAGGCAGTATCTGAACACTTTTCCCCAGGACTGTCGGCTGGCGCCCATGGGCACTGTCATTTATTGTCCAGCACCCACCTAACACAGTCCTAAACTCCTGCTTAACTTGGATTCCTGTCATTTGGATTGGTTGATGGTAGGCTTTACTTAACACGTCTCGGTACTGTATATGAATTGCCAAGTTAAGTGAATTAATTAACACTATAGATAGCAAATCCAGAATTAGGTCCAGTATGTCATTAAGAAGTAGAGATTTTAATTACACATTTAAATAAGATCCTGTCGTTGCTATATAATTGAACTTACTTCGTTTTCTACCCTTTCCCCTGCAGTACCAGCTAAGTTCACAGTTTGTCATTGCTAGGGAATTTTAGTTAGGGTATTGCTGCATCTTAATTAGAGATGAGGTTACCTATTAGTCTTCAAATTAATTGGATTCTCTATTTTGTGTTTGCTTTTTTATTTCCCCACAGAAAAATAAGCTGGAAGTGAGCATATGCATAACACAAAAATACAAATTGTTTCCATTTCCATAAGTATTTACCAGGACTATTGCAGCTGCTACCTTTCCAAATAAGAGGTCATTACGGTGTTGAATGTGAATGGAATCTGCTGCTATTTGTTCATGTCTTATCTTTGTGTGGAGTACATACAAGGGGGACCCCTAAAATCAGAATTATTCCTTGGAGGGTGGGACCCTTGTAGTACAGGCTCCCTCCAATAGGTGAGTGTTTTAGGAACCCATCAGTGTACCAGCTAGCATTGTGAGAGGCTGCATTCGATTTCAGTGAGGTTTTTCGGAGGTTCTTTCAGTGTGTTTGCTCATTTCATGATTTATGAGTGCACCTGTCCACACTGCACTGAGTGTTCAGTGGTTTTTGACCAAAAATGGTATGATTCACCCCAATGCCCCACCTTCCTCTTCTCCCCAGCTCTCCTCGAGTGACTTTGTTTCCCTCATGCAAAAAATCCTTGAAGGGAAGTTTTGCTGATGTGGAAGGGGTGAAACAAAAGATGGCAGAAGCACTAAAAGGCATAAAAATGCATGAGTTCAAAAACTGGAACAGTGAAAACAGCGTTTCAACAGGTGTTTCAAATGGAAAGTACTCTAGCCAGGTGCAGTGGTTCTCACCTATAATCCCAGCACTTTGGGAGGCTGAGGTGAGAGGATTGCCTCAAGTATTGTAATATTTCACTAACCTTTTAAAAACATGATTTAAATATAAACTTTAGTCCCTGAATACTAAAAATAATTAAACATGAATTAAATAATTAAACTTGTGGTCAACCTGTATGAGACAGGAAAGTAGTTTGAAGTTTTTAGGGCTTTTCTCCTTCCCTTAACTTTAAGTAATTTATGTTAATCTTTAAATTATATTTTTGATAACCATAGCTGGCTTTGGAACTCCATCATGAGGTTATCTTCTTGTTTGGCAGAATATGTTTATTATTTTATACCTCTATGAACAAACCCATAGATCCCACTTGACATTTAGTGCTTTTTTTTTTTTTTTGAGTCAAAGAGTCTCACTCCGTCACCCAGGCTAGAGTGCAGTGGCACGCTCATGGCCACCGCAGCCTTGACCTGCTGGGCTCAGGTGATTCTTCCACCCCATCCTTCCAAATAACTGGAACTACAGGTGCACACCACCACACCCAGCTAATTTATTTATTTTATTTATTGTAGAGACAAGGTCTCACCAAGTTGCCCAGGCTGGTCTCGATCCCCTGGGCTCATGCAGTTCTCTTGCCTCTGCCTCTCAAAGTGTTGAGGTCACAGGCTTGAGCCACTGCATCCAGCATTTAGTGCTTTCAAATGGAAAAACACAAATTGCTCAGTGCACATCTGGGTTCCAGTTGCTTTCAGTAACTGGAGTAACTTTCCAGTTACCGGATTATTTGGACTGCGAGTCTGTAGTGACACCTAGTGGGTGACAAGGATGTGAGCCTCGGTGATGAATTTTACAGCCAACTTCTGGGCCTTTGGCATCATGCATTTTCCTTGATATTCCATTTCTATTATGTTTTCATTGATTAGGATCTTGTTGGGAAATTGGAAGGGTGTGCCTTGTTGCCACATGGTGAAATATGGGAATGCCTGTTCTCCTTAATCAGAATTGTTAAGGTTAGAACAGACCTTCCGAAGTATAAATCCAATCCTCTTCTTTAAGAGATGGATGGGGAGGTGTCACTGTGTTGCTCAGGCTGGATTCAAAACACCTGGGCTTAAGCCATCCTCCCGCCTCAGCCTCCTGAGTAGCTGGGACTACAGGTGTGAGCCACTGTGTACCAATTCCCCCATTTTTAAGATGAGGGAAAAACTGAAGCCAAGAGGAAGTTTCTGATGTGAAGTCACACAACTAAGTGACAGGACCTACACCTGAGCCTCTCTGCTGCCTCATTCCCAAGCTTTCTACTATACCCCGTGCAGCATTCAAAGTTGAATTTTCAGGCCTGTCATCCCAGCATTTTGGGAGGCCGAGGCAAGAGGATTTCCTGAATCCAGTGGTTCGAGACCAGCCTGGGCAACTTAGTGAGACCTCGTCTCTACAGTAAAATCAAAAAATTAGCCGGGTGTGGCGGTGCTCCCCTGTAGTTCTTGGCTACTTGGAGGACTGAGGCGGAAGGATCGCTGGATCCCAGCAGGTGGATGCTGGGGTAGCTCCAAGCGTGCATGCCACTGCACTCCAGCCTGGGCGACAGAGTGAGACTCCCGGCTCAAAAAAAAAGTTGTTTTCTTTTGAGTTTGAGAAGTTGGCTTAGGTGAAGGAGTAGATAGTCTTTGTAGCCTCAGCAGAACCAGTACTGATATATAAAGGCAGATTTTCTTTCAATAAAATGGGGTTGGGCCTTAAAACAGCTGTTGACAAATGCAATCAAATGCCCTTAGAAGGTGAATATCCATGAAGACAGCATCCTTGCAGGCAAGAACCATCGGGACACCCTAGGGGAGTAGCTGACGTGGGGGCAGGGGGCCAGGGAGACGACACGAGGCCTTGAACACGCTTCTGGGATGCTGCGACTTTTCTCTAGCAAGGTGGAAAGCCTGTCTTTGTTAATTACCCTTATTTTCCAGTGTATAGCAACGCTTTTGGGAGGAAAGAATTGGTATTAAAAGAAACACTCCTAGTCATTTTAGGGTTTGTGGCACATAGTCTGTTTAATCCAGATTGGATACATCAGGTACAGCCGTGGCACATGACGCGATACTATAAATGATAACACGTGTTTTAACATATGCACTACAGTTTCAAAAGAAGACGACAGGAAACGCAAGAGTTTTTTTTTATAGAAAGTTTTCACATGTTTATCTTCCTGCAGTTTTGTACAGTATATTTCTTCTTTGCCGTTGTGATGTTGGTAAGCAAAGCCCATTTATTATACGAAAATAGAAAAGAACACACGATGTTTTTCACGATGACATGAATGGGTGGGGGGGATGTGACCTCTAAGGAAAACATTACATTGGAATGTCTGATTATCAAAAATATACCATCCCTCCCACCTCCCAGGTTTGTAAAATAGTCCATTGGTCCAAGGAGCCCCCCAGGACTTGGGTCAGTGCCCTACACTGGTTAGAGTGACATCGTCCAGTGTAGTTGCGTAACCTGCTAAAATAAATGTCATTCCCACACTGGATGAGAAAAAACATAGAACACTCTGAATAGAAAACAAGACTCAAAAGGAACCCCTTGAAAGCTGTTTCGTTTTCCGATGGCCACTTGCTCGTTTCAATGACGCTCTTCCTGATGCTGTGTAATGGGCTCCAAGGGTCATGGGTCGAAACAGTGTTTTTCCTTCAGTCATTTTCAAGCTTTGCAAATAATGAGATTTCATTGGGGAATCAGAAAGGGAAAATAAAAGTTTGTCACAGTTACCATGCCAACAAGTTTAGAAGGGACACTAATATTGCCTTAAATGAACAACATTGGGACCTTTCTGCCTTATAGTTACCTGGTAATTCAAGTGAGGGAGACTGGATGACTGGAATTCATCAATAACCTCAAATCTAGTGTTAGCTCAATTTCAACCACTACCGCTACAAAATTTT